TATATATATATATATATATGTATATAGTACGGCGCCTTGTCAAAGGCACAAATTACTATCTAACTTTAAAGCTTTATCATCAAAATATTTCATTTCAGCTTTGACTGACCGAAATGGCAGGTTATTAAAACCCACCTACATATATAATATGTCATATTCCACCTATACGTTGATAGTGAAACAAAGAATTCAGGCCCTCGCACTACACGATACTTCAGTCAGCATCGATAATTGGTAGAACCTATACAACTGATTGCATAAAATGGGAACATACGTACATAATGCTTTATTTTGTTTGCTCTCTGCCAAATCCTCTTATCTGAATCCACAAGAAAGTTTCTCAGATTTAGGTTCTCTGCAGGCCTTAATACTGAACAGAGCTGGAAGACCACATGTTCGTATATGTTTTACAGGTTATTTAAATAAATGGTTAATGAACCAGCTCTACTAACAAGAATATCAGTGCTGTCAAAATAGTTCTGCCAATACGGTCGGATCTTGCGTTGGCCTCCAATGTCCCACACCACAAGTTTGAATCCTTGCGTGGTCACGCTTTTGATGTTGAAACCCTGAAACGTATAAACGATATACGTAAGGGGCATAGAAACATGATAAAATGTTAATTATATAAGACGTCTAAAAACTCGGATTACTTAATCTATGATGACCAGAATAGGAAAGCACGATAGATGAAATCGACAAATATTAAAAATACATAAGATTATGGCATGCACGTTTGCTGAAATAAAGCTATTCAAATAAGTCGATACGTTCCGTTGACGTTTCATTGCAAACGCGTTACATAGCTCAATGAACATGTAGCCTAGCAAACATTAAGCGTACGCCTATGGAAGAAGAGGACTAAACAAAGAATCAATCGTGTGGAATAACTGGAAATACCGCCCGCGAAACGAGGTCTCAATTTTAATTTGTTATTGATAATTTTAAGCTGTGTTGAATATATAGGCGTAGGGTGCTCTGTCTTTAACATAAAAGTGGCCTTCCCTAACTAGAAAATCTGTTAAGGCCTGTAGGCGTTTTGAGTGGCCCACCCCTAAGCGGTGAATGGGCACAAGCGGTGGCCGTCTTTACAAGACGGATGCTGTGCTGCATTCGACATTTACATACTTGACAAGTATAAGAGGCCACATCATGATACGGGATGCTGGCGCTCTTCGCCTGAAAAGTACTCGGGATGGATGGCACAGTCTTGCCGTGTGACAAGTAATCGAATAGCGAAACATGTAATCAAACGACATCATAGCTACATAGCAAAGACGTGGTTCTAACAATGATGCTTTCTAATGACTATGTGGCAATATTTTTTTGCGATTATCGCTCAATGACGGTTTAACATGTTTGCAAGCAAAACTCGACAGCCCAAATGTTCGATTCCGAGTGTAAACATAGCTCGTCTCGGGTCGGGAAGTAGCCATCTGATGGGATGGCTAATGGCGGGTAGAGTCCTAAACACGCAGCTAGTAATGGTCTAATGTATATGGCTAGAGTTTTAATTACGAAGCTCTTTCTTTTAATTAAGTTAAGAAAGAAAATCTGTTATTGATGTAGTAGTGGCTTTGCTTTCGAAGCGCCATCAATTTATGGCGTACTCTCTTGCAACTTCTTATAGGCAACATAGATAATGAGATATTGATGATCTGCAAAACGTAGCTGCCAGTTGTTAAACGATTCGTATCAGCTCAAGATAGGTTAGCACATTGAAAAGTAGAAAGATATAAAGGCTCTTCGCCAGGAAAAGCTATCACCTTACTTGGGTTTTTTTTTTGTTGTTTCCTAGGCCCTTCTATAGTTTCACAGCGTATAAACGGGCTAACGTGTGTCTGTAAGAGGAGCCTAATCAGTGACCTTAATTGAGAGGCGCTTCTGCAGCTTCAGTTGGGTCGTCCGTGAATTACTGAACTGTCCTATCTGATAAGTCATTTCGGTTGCAAAAGACAATTTGCCTAAAAGCAAGCTCTTACACATAGCCAGGCAATAACAGTGTCGTATACGTGTGTGAGAAACGCAGTCACGAAACGAATACTCGGCCTTCTTCGTATGTAACATGCACTTCACGACTGTACGGCGTTCTCCGCTAGAGCGTGTTGCTAGCAAGCAGCAAATAAGTGCGCCACGACGTGTCCATGGTACGCGGCCCAAGTCGCTAGATCTATATGTCATTAATCAATTATTCTCTCTCAAGGTCACACATCTTAGGGTAGACGGCCCCGGTCTCTCCTTCATTATAGTTCGGTGCCGTTAGTGTCGCACTTTGAAGTGTGCATAGTTAAGCGATTGTACATGTGTAAACGTGACTCGCTTCAGAATACGTATGGATTATCGCTTTTTTATAATCTACATTATTAATAACTTGATCCTCTCCCAGTCTCTCATGACCCACCTTTACATGACGGCTGCGGATTTTCACCAAATTGAGCACAACATGCTAACTACGTTCAAAACAATATTCGGTACAAATACACGGACAACTAGTTGAGGCTTTTACCGACGTACTTATAGTACTGTACAGTTCTCCTTTGTATGCTTCGTTTGAAGATCTAATATTGATCTTGGGTTTATACTTTACGATGCGAGAGAAACCATGGCACAGAATGCCAAAAAAATATTCTGAAAAGCACAAACGCTTTCGTTCGCCAAGCAAGTGCTATGTCTTACATAAGAAAGCCACAACCACAGTATAAGCAATGTGTTATATCCTAAAAGTCGAATCAATATAACTCATTGTAGCAATCGTTTCGCAACCACTGGAACCGACACATGTAACTGCAGCCATCATGTTGGCTTCAGTAGGCGAGCGAGCAGAGCAAATGTCATACGAAAGTTTAAGTTTTTAAAGCCGCAATTGTGCAAGGTATTTTCAAGTATCTGGTTCCCTATTCGCGAGGGCATTATGACCCTATGTATGTGAACAGGTACCATAACTTCGTACGTAATGCTTCTCCATGACGTCTTTTACGCGCTGTGCTATATTAAACGCAAATTCATAGTTTTGCTATTATATATATTCGTGATTTACGGTATAAAAGTTTAGACTGGTTGTCTGTGAGAAAGGAAACTGCTACCATTAGGACCGTGTATTTTCTTGCCGTCACATAGTGGTCCCGGTACACTCGGTAGTTTAATTCATTTGTATTAATTATCCCGTACTTTGTGCTGTAATTGCCTATTATGAAAAGCTGTTCCACGCCGTATATGGTTGTTTAATTAACGGTGAGAAATTGTGGCTATGCTTGCGGAACTGTCGAGTAGGGACAACTTATGCCAAAGGGACAAATGGAACAGAAAAATTACTGCATACCCAATAAACATATCATACATTACGTATGCCATGAGTCTGCATGCTACAAATTCGACAGTTTATCTAGCATCAAGTAAGCAAATTAGAAAGTTTAAGTTACAAAAGCATTATTATACATCAAGTAGCACCTATTGTCCTCTTCAAGTAAGCCTCGATAGAAAGACACAGATCAATTAACGATAGCCACGGCCTCTTCGTTAAGGATGCCAAAGATGAATTAAATCTAAGAGAATCGCCCCATTCATAGCAGGTCGACTTGATAATAAGCAATCAACTTTCGCGAATTCACCTACCTATACCTGACCAGAGCTTTTGGCTAGTGCCATTAGAGATCATGTAAAGTCTGATAGAAACGTATCCGCTCCATATACATAGTCTAGAGACTGTTATACAACTTTAAATTAGCTGGTCCAACCAGCATGACACGTACGGCGCAGCATGGATTCAAAGCGTCGGACCGCTGGACCAAGCCGTAGCGACGCAGCGTGTGAACACGGAATGGCCATCATCTGTAGGGGGGTAAGGGTGGTGTCCAGTGCAAATGGCAGAACAGCTACGCATTTTGATCGCAAGCTAAAAGAAATGTCTGAACGGTATGCTCGACATTCTATTATTGTTCACTCTTATTGCATAGAGATATATATTAGGTATTACTAGGTTAGGGCACCTAAATCGAGGCTTTCCGAATTGCTCTCTCTAACACTGCATCTAGATAGAAACAGAGATTTGAAAAATCTTTTTATATGCGCTAGAGGTATCATTCCTAACAGTCATGCTTGTTCCCAATAATTACCATTGCTTGAACATGTTTGCGTTCTTAAGCAGCCATCTTGCCATTAATTGTCTTGTATAGGCCAGTGTACCATCTTGAAGGAAAAAGACGTTCTTCTATCCACGATTGCACAGCAGTTCGTAGAATATGCAAATAAACTTCTTTTTTGATGGAGGACGTTTAGCGGTGTAACGTCCTTTTCACCGGATGCCAAACTTGGAACTTGCAAATTTGCTTTTACCCACTATAGGCGCATATTATTCCTCATATTTACTCCTGTGGACTAAAAAATGACTACGAAAAGCAAATGCCGAGCAAGCATTTACCACGAAATCATCCCGCATAATATTGCCTATATGTTGGAACAGATCCGCGTAGGGGCTGGCGGCCGTTAAACAGGCCATTTTATGAGTAGGTCAAATCAAGCAAATTAAAAAGGAAAAGCTGTGTCTCTGCATGATTTGCCTAGCACAGAGTCGTATAGATGTCGTATCTAATCTTCCTTCTCTTTTTGCGAATACACCGTCCAACAATCTCGAAACAATCTCGACAGTCGAAATACATTGTCTGTTAACAAAACTTGAATATAAGGTAATATTAATCGTATTACTTCCATGTCAGAAGGGCATATTTCATCGACCTTAGAGGTAGAGAAAATCCCCTTAAGGTCACACATATATGAATATTACTTCTATTGCTGATAGGACTAGATTTGCACACTATTTACGAAAACAGATTCTAGAGTTTTCTTTCAAATTGTTGAAAATATAGTTAACTTGCTTTGAGAGCGTTATATTGCACGGAACACGCTATGAGGTGTATTCGTAATACCCGTTGAGACAATCGAGTCTTAGGATAGATGACTAAGAATAAAACTGAGGTTAGACAGTAAAACTTTAGCGCAGAATTTCTCTAAAAAACAGTCGATCTTACGGAGGCATGCAATCCTTTATGAGATGGCAACAGACATATATTTCACTATGTGAGCAACGTATATTTACTTGTGTGGGCGTAATGTGTGTAATATCTTCGGATGCAATCTTTTTAAGAATCGTCGTCTTCCCAGCGTTGTCAAGTCCAAGTAATAGGACACGTAGCTCCTTGTCAGGCGAAGCCTTCAGCTTCCGTAACAACGCCAGCAGGCCCTGCAATGGCACAAAAGAGACAAAAACAATAATTATAAGGGTGCGCTCCGCAAAAGCTATTAACACTCGATCGGGCTAAAAGCAACACCCGCCATCACTTAAATTTTTTCCCAAAATTGGCCGTCTTCAGAGTAATGTCGCTTTATACTAATCGAGCCCCTGGCGTTACGCTTCCGTCGAGCATAATACGAAAAACCACATGAAAAAACAATAGTTAATAGCATATATGTTGAATGGCTGCAGAACCTGCTAAGGCTATGCTACATATCGTTTCCGTCACCGTGGGCAATAAGAAGAGAGAACCACTCATCCATCACGATTAACAAAAATCTGAAGAGCGAGCTACGTATCGAAGAAGGAAGATTGTTGAGTACTTCTATGTTAACAAATCGCAATAGACTTCTAAAAAGATAGTGAATCGATCATAAATTTTCCCCCCACAACCAGCGATTTTGATGCAGTAAGTGCTAGTGATCTATAGGTCTTCTTTTTACAGTTTTTCAAAACTTGCCAAATACGAATAGTCTGCTCAAAGTGGATCACCATCTTAAGTTACCTTCTTTTTTCCTAAAAGTTTTTTCTAAAAATTTTAAGTTTCCTTCTTTCACTAGCAGCGTTGTCATAGGAGTACTATTTAGATAGTATTCCTTTTCTATATATATATATATATATATATAAACTTTGGTAAGTTGGCTATATTTTCCTAGCTTTAGCTACAGGCTTGGCACCATATTGACCTTTCAATATTTGGCCCGAAAAAGCCACGTCTCCTTTACTCTGATAAACTAAATATATTTTGATCCCCAAATAACGGTGTCTATTTTATGGGCTCTATTCCTGGGAGCAGTAGGAATAGAATTCAAGAACGATTTAGAGAGGCAGAAAAAGACTGACACACAATTCGTGTTAGTGCTTCGTCCTGAGCTGCGTTTCTACTGCTATGTCATTATATTTTGCCTGTCCATTTACTCGATGCCTCCATAGTTAATATTGGTTAAATTATTGGTTAAATACGCATTCATTTCCGTGTGAAGTGTCTATACACCCTTGGTACAAACTCCGCTCTCCCGCTGCAGCTCTATATGTATAAACAATGTATTTATATAGAATTAATAGCTTCGAGCCGTATTGGCTAGCCCAATCGATATGTGATGAAAGTTCTACGTCCTACAGTTGCAGAACTATGCTAAACAAGCCGAAACTCCTGCGCCCTCGTCATCTCGTGGCTAAAGCTTGTAGAATGTATTTTTCCGTGTGGATAGACGGCCGCCGTTATTGTTCCTACTAACAATTTGAATGTTTCACTAAGTTAACGGTTACTATATGGTTGGTTTGCGTTTTCTGCTATACCCTGAAAGTATCGCTATAGTACTGCAGCCGTAATTGTTCTGCACTATAAAAAATATGCTAGAAGACGATTTTTTTTCAAAGAACAAAAAAGTAAAATTAAGCCGTTTTTGTATTCGTGAAGCTGCAACTACAATGATTTAACAAAGTTGACAACTGAGTTTTCCATGTAACTTGCGTGTAAAACCAATTGGTTTAGATGGTTTAAACGGCTGTATAAAAAAAAAATTTAAAAAAAAAATAGTTTCCTCAAGAGATGATCATGTTTGTTGCATTGCATAGCACCGTAACGGCATAAATGAGCTTTTCTATCCTTTCCATAGTGTATCATCTTAAGGAGAGAAATTGGTAGCAATTTTTTAGAGGATAAAAGCTGTTCGTCCAGGGGCTTGTTTCGAACTTGTTTTTTTTCGTCTGCTATTACAGCCATCCGACAGCCATTACAGTTTTCGAAATTATCTTTTTTCTATCTGCACTCTGTGTTATTCGAGCATCTTGTGTTCGTACCGTTTGATTGCATTGGAAAGATATTTTCAAATATGTTATAATTATGGTACGCCTTAGACAACCAATGACGTGTGGTAGCAGCTGTAGATCATTACATCAAGTATGCAAATATTCAATTTTATATCAGTGTCTGAGCCGTTGTGTTTCTGATATAGCGGAGTTTCTAGTTATACGAATCGATCAAATGCAGGTAAAATCCTATATAATTTGAGATTTAATTAAATCTGGAGAATCCGAGACTGTGATACGCATTCAATTGAAAGTGCTCAGGGTTGGGCAGCATATTTCACGCGTTACGGTTCGTGTAACTCAATGGCCATAAAAAAAAAGGACATTTTTTCAATGAGTAGCCTGCTACCGCACACAGTTCTCTAGAAAATAACTAAAATCTGACTAAACGAGATATTTCATGTTATTCTCTATTAGCACTAACTCTTTGAAAGGCCAAAGACCACAAGTTTTTACGTGCAATTGCGTTGAACAAAGGCACACTTTGATGATACCGATACTCCCAATACAGATTTCATTTGTCCAGCTATTTTCTATGAAGCTTCATCGATAATCACCTGCGGCCGGCACGTATCGACCATTGCATGGCATCTTCCTGACTAGGCCATTTTATTATCTGATGAGAACAGCTGCCGACGCGTTTCAAGTTGCTGTTTACATTAGACATGGTCCTTTGTAATCGTGCCTTGCGGTAAGGTTTTGCCGTGCACATCTTGGATTTGAGCCTCATAGGTGTTTAGCGTTCAGCATCTAAGCGTACAGCATACGCATGTCTCAGAAAAAGTGTGTAACTATATATTCGCTACAATTGATTTTCCCTATAGTCTACCATGGCTGCTGTATGACGATTTATTTTAATAAAGACACTTCTTTCGTTTTTATTGTGAACCGACGCTTCCCGATAGACGTCAAGTCACCCAAGCACTAATAAAACATCACGCGTCATTACCGTTAGTACTGAAATTATTTCGATCATATCGTGTACCATTTTAGAAGGAAGAACGAATTCGGACAAGAATTAATGCCAATCACTAGAATCAACTCTGTCGCTGGGAATAATTCGCCGTCGCCGTAATATGCGCTCCTGTCTCACGCTTCACGCGTTGAACTAGCAGACGATTGGACACAATTCAATTCGACAGTCACCGGTATACATTTCGTCAACGTACTACGACCAGTAGATGTTGCAAAAAACCATTTACGACCACGACGAAAGCACAATTCACGACTACGCTTAGCTCATTTTCTTCTTACAGCCTCATGTGAGGCTACCGTTTGGCCGTATGGTCTATACCTATTTGTGCGTCTGTCTGTGTATGCGGATAATGATCGCGTAGAGCATATTGTGCCAGCGATGTTGTGCTATGTTGCCATAGAGACGAGAACAGCGACTCCGTCCGCTGTTGTCGGCCGCTGCAACCGTTCTTATATTAGAGCTGCAGTTAGCTCGCGGTGGGGCAAAGCGAGAGTGAGAGAAAGAAGCAAAACAAAGTCCCAACGTTTTCTGATGCTTACTAGGCGCTGCCAAGTCTTAGGTGAGCATTGAGCGGCAATACTCTGACCCCCCTAGACTGGGCGTCACCCATGGCCAAGCCAGTCAGCCCGCCCGCCAAGCTTCCTGACCCTTGGTAGGTCGATTTGCGGGACAAAAACAACCCATGATTCCTGTTTACATGCCCTTCGCCATACCATATAAAGAGGTTCCTGGTTGATCTCCGCTCAGCTTAGAAATCTAGCTTTGTCGATGACAAGTGTAGAGAAATTTGAAGGAAAATAAGTAGAGCATGAGGGTGTTTTGCTAGGTCGACAACAATACAATGACTAATGATTCAAGCCGTGTCAGCACTGTAAACAAACCTCAGCAATGATATAGCGGCCTATAAATAATATTTTGCAGAGTATTTCAGCTTAAACACAACTTTTGGCGTATAAACTGAAGAAGCCGAGTAAAGCTGATTGGCCTTGCGAATGGCGGAAATTATGTTGGGGTTCAAAAGCTACGCGAGAGTTGCTGCCCTGTTGGTCATCTGGGATCGATGGGTCCTGTACGAGTTGTTTTGATGCCTTCCATACGAATTCCACAGTAGATCGAGATCGCGAGAAATAATCATATCTAGCGTCGTCAAGAGAACGTAAGCGTGACGAGAGCGGACAGAACTACAATGTTGCATTGCCATCCTGAAATCAAATGGCTAACGTTCTAGCGTTCGTGGCTATACGGATGTATGTAAAGCCGGACCTGAGTTGCCGACTAAACGGCTTGTTTGGATCGACTGATATGTTTGTGCTGCTGTTAATTTGACAAACGATTCGTGACTACGGTGATGCACGATACAACGGTAAAAATGAAATGCGAGATAGCGTATACGAGTCGTATTATTCATTAAATTTAAAACGAAAGTTAGGACCGCCAAATATAATTAGAGCGCGCCAGATTAAAACAGATTTCTTAGAATGAACGTAATTATACAAACCGTTAGGGGGAAAACAGTGAAACCTATCCAATTGTCTATATTTACCTGTATTACCTGACAACTAGTAAAGTAAAACACTGGGCGGAGGTGACCTTTTTCAATAATAGATTTTTTCCGTCTTGACAAAATTTATATTTGCTATTGTTTGTCTGTTCCGCAAACGTCTTATTTAGGGTTGATCTTTCTTGGTGGTAAAAACAATAACATTAGCCCATATATGTCAAGACCATTTCATATTTTCTCATATATTGGTCAATATTATTAAAGCGTTTCAAGGTAAACACAAATAGGCTAACGACAAATAACGCTGTCGGTTCTGCTTTTTTTACTTCGATCGTGCCCATCGCTATCCCAACAAAATCTATTATCCATCACTTCTCGTTTTGCTGCTCAATTCTTTTGAGATCAGGTACTGTGGAACAGTTGACTCTTAATTATCGTCGGCTCAGGCAAAAAGACCTATGCGGGTGAGGAAGCATCGTTTAGATGGAGATACCACGAAAGGGTCCGCCACCTAAGTAACAATGACGAAATAGTATATTCTCCAGCCTGACACTGCTGGCAATAACAACAACGATACCTAAACGAGAATCCAATATCTATTTTACGGTACATATTTTCGTAAAAAAAAACAACAAAGGCAATTAAGGATAGCAAAGAATAAGCGTTCAATATGAACATCTTCCAGTTTCAAATAATTCGTGAGTGACTTCATTAATTGGTTGATGCGCTTTATTTATGACTCAACAAGCGATATAATGTCTATCGTTTTGATCTCTGTCTCCGTGATGAACGTTTAGACAATATTTGTTCACGAGCGAATCTGACTAGATAATTCAGTGCCTTCAACAATGCCAAAATAACCAACGATGTATTTATCCTGTCAAATGAATACATTATGTTAGAGAAACCAGTTAGCCTTTTTCTTATTTTGTCGTTGTTTAGGTTCGGCATTGAAAATCGCTTTTTCGAAATCGGTCCAGGAAGCCGCGAGATCTTTCTAAAGCGTCCGCCTAAGTCATCTGCAAAGCCTATAACATGACAATAGTAGCAACCAGAATAATATCGAATAACTGAGCTCGTGCACCTCTTGTTTACAAAGTTAAATCCCAGGCAGCCGGTTTTATTAATTTGTGGTTAGCTTCGCTGTGTCAAAGCAGGAGAGACTTTACAATATTTTACCCTAGATAAAAGCAAATTTAACGTAAGCACATTGTTCGTTCTGCCAAATCGCTCCGCCGCAGCGCTTGAGCTAACTCGGACGCCAGCTAATTACTGCACGCCACCCCGAGGAAACGTAAAAACGTCCCTAGACCCTCAAAGCTTTAACACTTCGTTCTGTCAAACCACAGTATGCTTTTCACCTTTTTGTCGATAAGGAAAATATCTATCTCTGCAAAAAAAATATATATATATATATATATTTCACATTTTTTTCTCAAAACCTGTTGTAGGTATATTAGCAATAATGGTCATGATTATACTTGCCGTATGCGCAACTTCCCTCCGAAAGTCAGGGTTTCTATCTGATGCCCCGCATTACGAGTGATTCTAAGCCTCAACAGCGTGTTCAGTTCAGTATTCGTAATTCACACTGGTGTAAATCAACTTCAGAACGTTATTATTACGTTCTCTGAGCGGCCTTCTACGGATATAAGACAAGTCTACGTTTCGATGTTATTTCTAACTGACCCCCCGTTCTCGAGCCAAATAGATCACCATCGTATTGTGCGCTTGTACGTCATAACCTTTTGCACGGAATCAGAAGGTTGTTTCTCGCACATTCAATGCACTACATTTCCAACTCTTGTGTCTGCCCTGTTGTTTTGTCACCTGTGCGTTTGTCTCGTTTCCTTCCGCTATGTCTGGCCTCTTGCCATTGCTTTTGATTGATATGTACAGTAACTCTAAAAACCCTGTTATCTTGTAATAAGCTTACAATGCTTTGGTGTTACTACTTTTCCCTGGTCATTCTGATTTGTCTTGTTCGCTTTGTTGTTGGTTTTCACACCCATTGCCTTGCACGGTCTGCTCGTATCGACAAATGGCAGCAACACCAGCATCATCAACAACAACGACAACAAAAACCTCATCGAACCTAAACAAGACTTAAATAAATGGTGATGATAGTTTAATATATATATGAAAAAATGAGTGAAATGCGAACGGTAATACATAGCGTATCAACAACATGTGTGGATAGGCAGAGCGTTCTGCTCGTGGTCAGACGAACCGTACCGAGCTACACATTTCTGATGTCAACACATGTGCTCGTCCGCATGTATTGTAATGTTGTACAATTGTACTAATGACATGAAAAACGACACTCAGACAGACAGAAGAAATTTTTACGCATACGAAAATCCGCGCGGCCAAACAAGTCTATGTACTTACTTAGAAGTATATTGGGGGCTTCGTAACGAGTTTCTTCATCACATCGTAGTATAGGCCCGCCGTACTTTCATGCCGTTTCTACGAGATCTCATTTTTAACCTCCGGCACAACCACTGTACTGATCCTCGGCGCACAGAGAAAATGGCGAAAAGTTTCTTCGTAAATCACGCAGCTAACGCAGCTTATTTAGCAGCAGGAGTAGTGGAAATAAGCTATTATTATTCTGATGTACTCTCTCCGACCGTTTTATCTTTCTCCGCCACGCCCTCCCTGCTATTGTACCGTGAGTACCATGTCCTCAGGAATGGCTAGCCTCAATATATAGGAGAGTATGTGTTTTAGAGAATCTCGTACCTTTTACATTCTATATGCAACTGTGGCAAATCATCAGAATACCAGTATGACACTTGTATCGAATGCCATAGAATAGTTATTTTAATTCAACAAGAGTATTCGAATTTAATAAAACCTTGTTTTCAAAGCGTGCTTTTTATTGCTTTATTGCCAGTGTTCACGCTATGTCCGTAAAGGATTTTCGCGTTTCTGAGCGTTAACGTGACCTCCTAACGCATTTCTAATGTGTGTTAGAAGGGCAAACACGATGACATAGTATACGAAATTTGGCCGGCCGGTCGGTCGGTCGGTCGATCATGCTGGAGAAATGGCCCGCGGGAATTGTGTATAAAAGAAACCCTTTAGAGTTCTATGAATACCTGAAGAAATTACACCTGTTTAGGGTTCTTAATTGTATAATTCGTGTGAGATCAGTCACACTCATTTGGATTGCGCAATTTCGAATAGCAAAATAACGATACAAGAGTAGTGCAGAATATTTCGTATACTGGATATGGCCATATTATAGTACATAAAGTTTCAAGTTCTTTCGTTTAATGCTTTTAATGTATCTTTAAGTGTAAGGCTTGGAAATGCCAATGACTCTAGGTTAAAAGTTTGTAGATGTATAAAGGAATACCTTACAACTGTGCAGTTTGTATTCGTGGTCTATCTTGCACTGAAGTTGTACGTTTGAAGTCCGCAGGAAATCAGAACAGCTTAACTTCTAGACCATCAATCGCTATAGTAGCGCAAAACTTTTGTATGCAAGCGCACTCACCATGGACATGAAACGCGCATGGTTTGTATCGGACCTCAACACAGCTTCTTGATGAAACTTCGGAAAGCTTTATTTTCAGGTCTTTTCGGTCCTTAAGGCTTTAATAACTCATTAAATGCTCGGCACTGTATTAAGTACAGAAGGAGTTTTGCTATCTAATTGTGTCTAGTAGTAATATCCGATATTTTATGGTTTTCCATAATTATACGTTAAGCGGACTACACAGCCTATACGCGTGTTATATCTCCGAATGTTATGGCGAGAGACAAATAGGAAAAGCCGTACAAATACCACCCTGTTACTAGTTAATTAACTAATTAAACAATAACCAACATTTCATTACTTCTGCTACTGCAGACGATTCTCAACTCTTACGTATTCTAAATTAGACGTGCAAACCAGATACTCAGTCATTAGTAGTAATCATTATTACAGTACAAACTTTGTCTTGACTCACCTTAGGTTGCAAGCATAGGGAGCATTATTTAAACGAAACACCCCTGAAAATTGCTAGAGCTGCACGGCGACGAAAAAATGACGGGCGGGTTGCCTTCATTGGTAGCGCGTGATGTAGACAGCAGACAGAGTGCTCGCTCTGCTTTTTTGAGTTCTAATCTCTTTTAATACGATAATAGCAGCAATTGTGACCATGTGCAAAAATGATGGACTCTCACTCATGAAAAACCATGCGCATACTAGCGGCCGTCATAAACATTGTAACGTCTATGAGAGGCACACTGGCATCAGGGGTTCATAGCTCAGTAGTGTAATATACCAGACAACCAACACCCGACGAAGAGTGCCTTACACGCGACGCTAGAACTCCGCATTCGCAAGCTTCGGCGGAGAACTAAGAATGGCTCCCTCTTGGATAGGCCCCGTAGTAATTATAGCTCACCATTCGGATTCGGGGCAGTTCGACAAACAAAGAATGAAGATTGAAAGTTAGCCACGAGCTAAGAAATATATACACTTGCGTTATTATACTCTGACATGTATAGACAATGAACGTGTGTTCCTGGCCATATCTTGACGTAGACTCCACTCAGCTTTACGAGGGGCTCTTTACCCGCTCGTTCTCTTCTTATTTTCATACTTTTTGATTAATTTGATGAATTACAAGTGAGCGACATTTGTTGTGATATTTTTATTCAGCAAATTACTGTCAATAATACGTATTTCCGCAAGTCTATCTGCCCGAACGACAATCGATGAAAATTAATAGAACTATAATTGAAATAGTTAGCCATATATATATAAAATTAAAGCG